GTTAGTAGTTGAAGGCAAGATTGATGGATCAAGATCTAGAGGTCAACAGAGAAAAAAAAATCTTGATAATTTAGCTATGGCAGAAGGTAACATCCGGAAAGGAGAGCTTCTCCATCTTGCTCAAGATCGAACTAGGTTCAAGATCATGGTCGCTAACGTCAGTAGCTGACAGGGTACATAAAGAAGACCGAAAGTGAAACAGGAATAATGTTGCTTCTGGATTATTGTCATATCCAGAAAAAATTAATGCTACTTTGTACAAAAGTCAGCAAAACTCAGAGGGCTGCTGCGAGTGAGATGGGAAAGGCACGCAGGGCAACAAGACAGAACACATTATCTACGATCCAGGACAGGGTATTGTCTGCGATCCATACTATCTCCTCCTACAAGGAATGCAGGAAAAGAATAGGACATCCTATTGGTCCATAGAATTAAACACATACCTCAGAGGGCACTAGAAAGAGAATGAAAACGAATGATGCAACAGATAAAGAGTGAGCATCAGAAAATTGACAAAAGAGAGAAACCGCACAATACCCTGAGTTTAAACATCTTGTGAGAACCACTGGAGATCAATTCATCTTTACACAAAACAATGGGTCCTAAGGAGATGAGGACACTCAAGAGGCATCATAAAACAACTTCGCTAAATACCAAATCAGACATGACAACGTAATGGGAAGCGGAAAGACTAACCTCTACAAAGAAACAAGGAAACAGAGGTAGTAATTAGAACACAGTATACTCGAGGATTACTGCAATGCTGTTTACTGATGGGCATTAAGCAATGCAATTGACCTCACAGTGGAAACATGCCTAGGTCACTAGATACAGGAGGCAGCACCATGACCCAGATCCATTGTGATGGTATCAGGTATGTGGAACAGCTGATGACCTGATCAGCAAAAAGTGATCATAGGCCATTATAGTAGAACAGTAACTTTAAACAAATTAGTTGACAGATCACTAGCTTCAGTCATATAATGACTATGATGGTGAATCAGTAAAGGATAACAACCATGAGACCATGAATCAGTAAATTTACGAAAAAAACATGGACATAAAGTGGTACCAACATGATATAAAATCCAAAAAATGAACACCATAATTGAAAACAGAAAAGCCTACTATCAAGGCATGTATGTACCCATAGATACAAGGGGAAGACGCAGCTGCAACACAGGGCAGAAGAATGAGCTGCGTGCATAATCTCTGAGATCAATTAGTCCTTGCAAGTATATGGTGTGTTCCTCATAGAACTTATCTTAGAGCAGAAAGGTAGGAGAAAATATAGAAATAAATCACTCATGGTATGGAAAGCCTTTGTCGTATGCATGACTATGAGATGAAGAAAGTGACATCCTAAATAAGGGATAAGGAGATGGTCTGCAAGGAACTTACTGTCCAAGATACAAGGGTAAAACTGGGTAGGAGTCATATGAGTAATGCTGTTGAGTATATGGAATGAAAGTAGTTTAAAATACCAACGGAAAAGCATAGTGGCAAGTAAACCCAAGGATCGATTCCTTCTTTCATTGGATGATATGCAATGTGAACATGTATGTGAATTATGTAGGAAAGACCTTGATGTACATACTGAAAAAAACTTGATTGGCGCAGATCTGAGAGATGTGGTGAGTCAAGGCAGCAGAGAGTGGACTTCCGCCACATCTCTATTGGGAGGTTCAAGCAACAATAAGCAGTGAGATGACAGTTAGTGTATATCAATGAAACCCTGAGATAGACCTCACACCAAAATGCAGGTGGATGAAGCCAAACCTCTATGAAACCAATTAGACTTGAAAAATTAGCTGTATAAGGACAGATTGAGAATGATATGATTCCAACTAGACCCAATAACCATTAAGCAAGGGAAGGCAGAAGCAGCAGCATCACGAAGTAGCTGTGGCTTGATACTAAAGTCAAATTAACTTCGCTGAAAATTGTTATGGTCGGGGAGGGGCCTGGTTAGTCAAGCTGGAGTTTCTGATTGTAAGAGGTTCCCTATGGCAGGCCTACCAGCTTGTCTACTCCAACCACCAATAATGCCTGTTTTCTTAAAATATGAAAAAATTGCCAAAAACAAGCAAATGAAATCTCCAGTAATAAAAACACATATTTACAGAAGATATGCATTCATACATATTTATATGTCTAAATAATAATAAAACATTAAAATACCCTACAGTGATTTAGTTAAGCAGCAGTACACTTTGTGGAAGTGAAATGTGAGAGAGAAGAGGATTGGGGGCTGATTAATTAGCATAATTAGTAGTATAACACTTTACATTAACTATATTGTACCCAAAGGAAACACGACTGCATGATTGCCCAAGAAGAGGGAAATGGGAGTAAGTAGAAGAAGGATAGTAGCCAGACATTGTTAATGGATTACGCATTTGTTCATTCACAGCAGCAGATATGCAGGAAAACAAAGCAGTTTTTGACAACCTATGCTTAATTGCAGCAAAAAGGTCAATATGCATAAAATGTAGCAACCACATGGGAGCAAACAGGTCTTTAGAGAGTGAAACGCACACTATGAGTTCTTAATTTGGAAATGATGGCATAATGGCCACGAAACAGTCTTCCTAGTAAAGGTCTGTCACAACTAATCTGCTCATAGAAAGGTGAATTCACACACACAGTAGGAGCACATAACATCTAGCCTGCTTGGAGATGTTGGCAGTAGCACAGAGTAGTCATTGGTATGGGTGCATCCACACCAGTTACAAAACATGGTAGGAACATTAAAACTGACAAGTTGGGTAACAAGTTAAGTTGTTGAGAAACATTGTAGTAGACATGTTGATACGGATTTCTTGGGCAACTTGTTAGCAATCCTGCTGTGGATGAGGTGATGTCGTCAGAGAGCTCCCACCAAACAACAGACCAACATGATGTGGACAGTTTCACCAAGTCGACTCTTATTGCCGCATGTATCTCAAGATTGTAACAGATATGTCCCCATACATATCAGGAGATTTATATTCAAATGTCTACTATTATGTCCCCCACAGGGTTTCCAATTTGTCTCCCCCATAGGGTTTCCAATTTGTCTCCAAGCAACATGTCACTGGTGTGGACACACCCCAAGTCTATCTAGCGAGGGTTTGCCACAACTTACCAACTTGAAGTGGGATTCCCTGTTAGGAAGTACTGGAGAGCATATCCTTCTACTAATGGCTCATTATGATTAACTGGCTTTTGCAAGATGTACAGACAGAGTGTGGGCCTTGCTATCAAAAGTAAAGGCTCATCAAGATTATCCAGTTCTGCAAGGGCTGCATTGGCACAGGGAAGTTGTGGGCCTGGCTACCATATACAGTGGATAGGGACACCCTGCTTATCCTGGAAGCCTTTAAAACAGTGTGCAATGTTGCTTTATCTTCTCTGCCAATCAAGAGCATATGTCTGCTGGAACCCATAGGAATACTCAGGGATACTACACTACTATCACTGAATAAGGGACAGGTCTGCAGAAAAAGAGAACAGATAAATATCATTCCCTCTTATTCCCTCACAGCCCACATGGGATGGAACAAACAGACAGTACCAATGGAGAAAAATGTGCAAGAACAAACTCCAACACAAAAATGATGAAAATGCCAATATCTCATAGAATTTAAAGTTACTACAAAAGAACAACAAAGGCAGGATGAATCTTTTGATATGAAGAAACAGGACACACAATTCATAGAGAAGTGGGAAGGGGTGCAACACGAGCACTGAACTCCATATGTTTCAGCTGTCTTATAAAACTGAATGCAAAATTATAATTACATTATGATTATTAAGCACATAACATACATTGACATGTCTCTTGATTTTATTATGATGCAGCTAAAAATATCTTACTCATCTATTTAAATATTTTGCAAGACATCCCATACCTGGCTAATATTATTGAAATAATATACTTTACTTGGAAATTGTTGGTAACTTATCACATTAACTGCTGATATTTACCAAAACAAATGTATACTGAATGTTATTGTTCAAAGGAACTGGTTAAATGTGTTAAAAGTTGCCAGCTTCTGCAAGGACAGGGTGCATTAGGAGTATCAAGATAGCTGAACAAGACATGAGACAAATCAGCAAAGCTGATATTAGAGGCTTATTATTAATATTCGCACTCCAAATATCCATCCCATATAACTTCAAAAATATTTAAAATTGTTTAAGCTTGCAATTAGGATCTGAAGTGGGGCCTCCTAGACTTGGCTTGACTATCCTAAGGAAATGTGAAATGACACCCTTGCAGAAAAGAACATTAACTGCAGTCCAAGGTCCTTGACACAATTATAGTCAGTCTAAAATGGCAGATGCAGTGCTGACAAAGGTGCATGTGGTTGGGATATGAGCACTGGCAACGTGATTTTTAAAAATATTTTCTTCCCTAGTTCTTGCATACACGGTACAACTAGCATACAAAGTTGAATTAGTTGACAACTCTGATTAGGCAATTATGCCTGCTAGATAAAACCTTTGCAACAAAATCCTAAATATGCAAATTTTCTCTCAGCAAAAGAGTGGTCATGAACACTGTCATTCTTTACATTAATGGATACCTTTTTTGAAAGCATTTGACATGCTAAGATTTTTCTTTCACCAGATGATGACCTGAATATTTACAGTCTATGTTATATGAAATAAAAACAAAAATGTGGTTTATTGCAAACTAAGGGGTGGGATTACAAAGGGTAACTGTATGTACATAACAAAGATATATGTACATGTATATACTTTCATATTTTTTCTATGTTATTTAATTACAAAATGTCGTGAAAGTAGAATTTTTATTTGCATCAACATTGACAACAGGAGGAAATGAGGAAAGCCTAACTTGTTTTCTTTTAAAATCAGTTGCAAAGCATTTAAACATACAAAGTTGATATTTTGCAAGTGTTTTAAGTGGTTACAATTGCTACAGAAAATTTGCATACTTTTATCCTGATAAGTGTATATTCTTAAAGGATAGGATCAAGGAAATGACTCTGTATGAAGGATATTTTATTATCTAAGTACTTCTTCAATATAAAATGTATATAAAAAAGATATGTGTACATACATAATGGAGTGAAGCAGGCGAGCACTGGCACATATATTGACTCAATGTAATTTGCACCCAGAGAGAGCAGGACTGAATCTCTTGGACACACTAACAGTATAGTCCATTAGATGCATGGACATTTCCTGTGTACTCATTCTTCAGTAATGATAACAAGGGAAGATAGCAAGGTTTTACAACAAATAAGCATTAGATGCAAAGGGTTCAGATATTCAAATATAATGATATGGTTAATGAGGTATGCATTTACAATGGAATAATGAAGTTTCATACTGACACAGATACGTAACTATCCTACCAAACAAGAAAGTGGTGCAAGTGATTTACTTTTGTTCTCCCTGCACAGCACTCCATGAAGAGAATCCTTGTTGAATGACAAAGCATTTTACAATGCTGATACAATGGTAGAAAATCCATTATGCACTAAAAAGATTTACTGAATGACAGCACTTTTGAAGTCCTCCTGCAATTCATCTTCAGCTCTGAAAGGTTAAAGAAAGGAAGGTATCCATAAGAGGGAGAGGAAGAAGTAACATGATGCATGAGGGGCAGGTGAGAACAGGTAAAAGGTGGGTCAGGTTAGATTGAAGGGTAGGGCGACCAGCATAGGCCTAAGGGAATTATGTAAGGATATAGGAAACAGGAGAAAAAGTGGTTTATCAGAGAAGATTCTACCAGTCTGAGGGTGTGGACATCAAGATAAGGAAAAACAAGATGAGCTGCTAACCAGTCCATTTAATAGTCTGTATCACACTGATGGCAGTTATGGCATTGTTGGTGTGCCCCCTAGATATAACATACTTGTACTAAGAGAAATACTTTAGGAGACTGGCACCAGTATCCCATAGTATTTTATTGCATGAGGCACAAGGAACTGCATAGGTGCCCACCTTTGAGGTAGAGTGAGGCCTGGTGATATCCAGCTTGCTGAAGAGAGTGTTCACCTGGCAAAAGGTGAGCTTGCAGTTGACAGGGTGAAGGATGTGACAGAGTGAACAGATTTTCTGTTTGGGCAGGCTGGAAACCAGCAGGTGAAGTGTCCTTCCACGAGGAAAGTTGTGGTAGAAAGAATGCTGCATCCTGGATAACACGGCACTGAGAACATGACATAACACAGCCTCTAGAACATGACATAGCACAGCCTGTTGAAATTCAACAAAACGAAAATTGGTTTCTCTTTCAGAGATACAGAGGATATGAAGGCACAGTTTTTTCAGCAAAACATTTTTTAATATTCATCCATCTCTTTGTATACTGCATATTTATATAAATGCATAAGCAATTCTGGACAAGAGGACCACAAGCTCGTACCTGACACATGAAGAACTACATTATAGCTTTCTGATACAAACCTAATACACTTTGAGTCCTACTAATTACTTTCTAGATCTAAGATCATTAACTCCAGGACAGAAAGAAATAGGTGATTGGCAACTGGAACCGAAAATTTATGAGAACAGCTACAGGTTAATATCTGGAGATCCTGAACAACTTTGTTATATTTAAATTGGGCTCTGTACTATTTTTAAATTTAATTCATGGGTTTCTGAGAATGTTTAGGGGACTATACAGTTTTATTTATCAAGGATACAATGCTCTTTAGAAGTTAGTGATACTGGCTAAAAGCAACATTTGAAATACAATATTATCACCGGGTCATTTATCAAAAAATCAACATCAACAACCTATCAGATTTCAAATAATTATCATCCTCAATAAGTGAATGGTAATGATTGAGTTAGTGATCAAAATAAAACAATAATATGGGACATTTAATTCTAATCTTTCCCAATTCCATGAATTTAAATTTTTGTAACTTATGAGAAACTCTTGATATCTTCATGGTTAGGTGTGATTAGCATTGCATGAAAGTAACTGGGTATTATAGATGAAAAAGAAAGAAAGAAAGAAAAAAAACAGACCACTCAAAAAAATAAATCAATTAATTAAAAAAAAAAAACGACGTTAACAATGCAAACATATAGCCAATAAACCTCCTGAAGTTGACTGTTTGCTTAATTAGAAACAATAATCTAAACCTTGTGTTAGAAATTAATGGCTCTAGACATTTTATATTTCTTCACCTGCATTGTTGCCCTGTGTTATGTACTGTACCTCCTCTCTAATGCAATCATGACTCAAACATCTATGACCATTTTTTCTTTTCTTTTCAATTTTTTGGTCATAATCTACTGAACAAGCCAGAAGGTGCAACTGAATGGTGGTTAGGAGGCATCAATCTATCCACAGATTGGAGGATTCAAAGTGAACTTTACTCTAAATGATTTTGGTAATCACTCAATACTTTGAAATGAACTTTGTTACTATAACTGCTAACCTCTAAATCTTATCTATTTCCTTTCAGAGATTATTACTAATCAACAGTCGATTGTACAAATGTTTATATTACACCACTCAAAACGAGAAATAGTATTACCGCTTTTACCCATACATATTTACATAATATGGTACAATCTTTTGCTCTATCTTCCCAAATATGTTTTATGTTTCAAGTGTATTCTTGGCACCTTCTGGCTTGTGGCCTTCTGTAATAAAGCTACTCATATATATACTTATAGAGACAAAAAGATGTATGTGTATTTTTTCACAGGAAATTAACATATAAAACAAAAAATATGCATAAATAACAATTTTGAGTTAATCCTAACCGTAAATGCATAAAACTCTCAATGTGGGCAATTTAAATAAACAGACAAATAAACAATTAAAAAAATAAATAATAACAATTATTATTTACCTACCTCAGTCTACATAATGTCAATTATTCTCCTACACCTTATTAGGTAGATGAGAACAGCATCAAGATAATGTGACTTGAAACAGGATCTGTGGTAGAGAGAAAATAATACTCTTTGAGATATATATATTTTTTTGTGTTACACTTCAGTCTTCATTAATTGTATATGAGCTCCATATGTTGCTCTTGTGTGGTAATTAAGACAAAAGTGTATTAATAATACAAAAAGAAGTGACGTGAAATATATATATCAGGCCTGAACAAAAAGCATTTGTCTATAAAATGAAAACTGCAATAGGAAAGTTGAGGGGAATTTCATTACATTGAATTATTTGGCTATAAAATGAAAACTGCGATAGGAAAGTTGAGGATAATTTTATTACACTGGAAATAAACCATCAGCTCTCAAAAGACACAGCTACATAATCATACTGCTACAGGAAACATTTTTTTAAGCCTTAAGGTGTCTTGCCGAATCTTTCTTGATATATGGGAATACCCCATTGTTTAGATAGCCTGGGATCTAATTTGGAAATTTTAAAAGTCTATAATTTTAAGCATGATTTATATTGTAGAGTCAAAAGGTTATTTTGTTTTTTTTTCTTTAAATATGTTTCTTGAAACATATTTCTTGAAATAATCTTACTGTTAAAATATAAATGACCTTCACTGTTCTTACATTCCTAGCAAACTCTCCACTCCACTCTCCACTCTCCTGTATTTACAACTTGTTCACATTCAAAAAACAAAAAAGAAAAATAAATAAAATACTATAATAATCTAAAAAAGGGTTGAAGTGTAAGGTCATGCAGTTTTCTCCTGAAACTTACCAAAACTCTGCTTAGCTACAGCCACTAGCTATCACACTGAGGCAGCCAATAATAATGTCTATCTGTCAAGTTCCATCCCCCTGTAATGCTGTTCCTGGAAAGATAATAAACAATTTAGATTTATGAATTTCACTGAGTATTTCTATGCATAAATAGGGGGGTATCAAAATAGTGAAGAAAATCCATGGAATATGTTTCTACAAATGCAACTTTTTCTTTTATTTATGCGACATGTCACTATACAAATAATCTTATTCCTTCAGCAAAATTTCCATGAAAAGTATGAACAGCCATTATTTAGATTGAACACTCCCTAAACAATTCATTATATATTTGAATATTGCAGTCTGTTTTTATACTACGCTTACTCCACATATCTTATTTCTTTCTGGTACAGATTTTTGTAGTCATCAAAGAAATGCAAATAGCTATTTTGTGTGCATGGAAAGTGCAACTACCTTTTTGGAACCCTAACCCACAGTATGGAATATGCAATACAGATAATTTAGATATGTATATATTTTTTTCACCCTTTTCCTTTTTCCTTTTTCATGAGATTGAAGATGAATCTTCAGAGCACCATCTGGTAAAGTGCAAAAAAAATATACATTACATATACACACTTCATATATATATGTATATATATATATATATATATATATATATATATATATATATATATATATATATATATATATATATATATATATATATATATATATATATATATATATATATATATATATATATATATATATATATATATATATATATATATAATATATATATATATATATATATATATATATATATATATATATATATATATATATATTATATATATATATATATATATATATATATACATATATATATATATATATATATATATATATATATATATATATATATATATATATATATATATATATATATATACTATATATATATATATATATATATATATACATGTGTGTATGTGTATATATATTATATATGTATGCATAAGCATACATACAAAACAACCTGACATAATCTACTCTATGTCTCACTCTCAATAAGTTTGAAGCCTTTTTTTCAGGATGGTTTTGCTCAATTATATTTGATATCATAGCCATTATCTATTTCCTTTATGCAATGAAGAACCAAATCTGGTCAAAATTAACTAACTTACACCAAAGCTTTGAAATATACGTAATCTTCCATTTGAAAAATGAAATGACCCTTTCTACAGTACATTCAAGAGTATTGACTGGCTTTAAGAACAAATATTAAAATACATTTACAAATATTAAAATGGAATGACTCCATTTAAAAGAGTACCTTAAACCTTCAAAAACA